TCAGGGATAACTATCTCAGGCCCGGATTCACCAGGTCGAGGAACTTTCTTCATAGAAAGACGACAAAAGAGAAAAACATGAAAATTTAGTGGAAAAAAAGAAAATGATAATGGAGGCGTGTTAACAGATTTTGCTACTTTTCAAACCAACATCCAGATCTCAACATAAAGAAAAAATCCAATTAAGTAAGCAAGGAAATTAGAGCTGTTCCTTCAGAAACGAGAAGTAAGAATATAAGGTTTTACATATACCAGAGCAAATGGAAGAACAGATGTAGTCTTGAAGGAACAGAAATGAGAATTTTACATAAAGCTGTAAAATGAAAGAATATTAAGTCTAGAAAAAATTAATTTAGTGAAAAATAAATAAACGCCAGACTTCTCTAAATGCGTATTTTAACTTTGTTAAAAAACTTTAAAAAAACGTGATGCAGAAAACGAGAAGAATTAAGTGCAGCATAGCTGGTTTAAATATTTGTTTGATGTTGTTGTGAGCTCTTTTTTGCGGCGTGCTATGAGGGAGAGGGAGACCTTTTCGAGCATGGTTGGTCTTGCATCCTATGCCGTAGTGAAGTTATAATTCAACTTATCAAGTTGTAGATCTGTGCTGACATCGGCGAAACTTCTTGGAATCTACCAAGTCTACGGTCCGATGCTGGAAATTATCGCGTATACGACAGCAGAGGACGCAGGACCAGGACCCTGCCCTTCCGACCATATCGCGAAATCGAGGTCAAACCAAAACTATGAAGCAAAAGAAGACCGCGACTAAACCTAAGGACACACAATCTTGGTCTTCATATCTAAAATTATTTTTTTAAAGAAGTTATTTGACCTTATTTTAGCAACTCGGTCATATTGTCAGGAAGACCTTGAGGAACGCACCTTGTCCGGAGTCCATAGTATGCATGATAATTTCCAGTTGAATTGTGGACTTGGTACATTCCCAGACGTTTCGCCGGCATAGCCAGTGAGCCTTGCCATTCTTAGCACCACACTACAATTAGTTAAAGAAACAAGTGAAGTCGATCCTTTGACCAAATGTGAACTAAACAGTTGTGGTAACTTTTATTTTGTCTTGGGCTATTCACCTATGCTATATCCTCGTATGACCCCTTCAATATCACTATTTCTTACTTTTCATCTAGACCTATTTGAAATATATGCACACCCCCCACTGGTTTTGTTTACCTGATCTTCAGAGATCCCAGAAGAAGAACTAGAAGAGGACTCTGAAAAATTTTCATTGTGTTCACTGTTTTTAAACCATTTTTCGTAGTCAATCGGGTCATCATCTGAGTCAGCGTAAGAGTCAGTCTCAGCACCTGTTTCACCATAGGAATCGGAATCAGCAGAACTAGCAACATGTAGGGCGACCCTGCAGTCAATATTATCTACCGATGTCAGGGGACTAGGCTTTGCAGACTTTTCTAGTGCTCCGCCAGCCTTGCCTGGCTGACGACGTTTATCTGGTCGGGCTTCTTTTGCAGCCCTGGCTTTACGAACTTTTACACGAGCCTTGGCCATCAGGACGCCTCGCGACGTCATGCATTCGGTGGGCATCCGTTTGGGTGAAGCAAGAGGGGAGTGAACTGTGCATGTCTGTACACCTTCATCCAGACAAGCAAGTGATGCAGATATTTTGTGGTCTTCTGGAGACAAAACGGATTCTACAGCAGAAGCTGCTGGTGGAAATATCGGACCACATGGCTCAATTTGCTCGCATGGCGCTTTTGCGTAGTTGGATGAATCCGGTTCATTGAAAGAGTTTGGAAGACCTAGTTCGCGGCGTAGCTCATCGGATGAAAGGGTATTACGCGTCTCGGCGTAAACTTCCTCGAGCACGAAGGCCACTCCGCGTAGCGGTTCTCCACACAAAGGGCCATGCTCGCATGCCAGATTGAATCCACGCAGCAAGGCGCGCACATGACCTAAATGGACAGGATTGTGCCCGTCACTGCCATCCTCGTTCGGTACTGGCTGGCCCCATGCGTTGAATAGTCGAAGGGAGCAACGCTGTCTGGAGATAAGTTTAGAGTTAAAAAAATAACACGAATTAGGGAAAATTAACAATACATTAAAACGTTTATTTGAATTTGCCGAGCTCGACGAGAGAATATATAAGTATTTTGCAAAGGTATGAGTCTGAACGGATGACAGTTTTCAGAGATAGAAAACGACCACTTATATATAGAATATGATGAATTAAAAATGACAAAATCGTTTCATGAGGATGGCTGCGAATAGTTAAGCTCAGATATAACTTTGAAACAATGAAACTAACGCACATAATTTTATAAAAAACAGTCATAACCCATGATCAGATAAAATATTCACTGCCTTTCATTTAATCTAATGAATGACTGGCAATTGAGTTTGCC